GTTTTCTGTTTCCAGTCCTCAGAATTTGATCAGAGAATAATGCGTTCAATATATATAATAATATAATAATAATATAATATAATAATAATATAATATATCAATGACAAGCATTTTCTGAATAAATTGACACAAAGAAACTGTATGGTTTTTGTTTATCCACTTACTGTCGGACATTTTAGATGACCGACTTCTTGCTCTTGTATTACGTGTGTTTCGGAACAATTACTGCCCAAAAATACCGGTTTGTTTTCAATAGGTTTTACATTTCACCTCTTATAACCGCGTTCCAGTTTTATGGCCTCAGCAAACTACTAAGTCATCATTCGATTCCTCTACTTTCATCAATCAAAACTGATGTGTAATATGGGCACCAAATTTACGATTGAAACACAGACAGGAGGGAATCCGGTCCAGTAATGCAAGCTCCTNCCTAGTTTTAGTGGTTTCATTAATTTATTTCATTACATTTTATCCAAAATGCCCCAAACCTACCCTTTCCGCATGACAGTCTGGTTAATGCCTAACCTAATCCTTTTTGTTTCGTAGTATTTCTCGCGTGATTTCCTATTGACCATGGGTATCATCGTTTAATTTCGAAATATTCATACTAAAAATGAATTCACTTCAAAGCTGTCGTCTGTGAAATGCACCAACACACTGTTCTGATCCAAATCATGGCGAATATTTCCAAAACAGCGCATTTTACAATCGTCTGTGGGATACGTGGAAGATCAACAATCTCGCAAGGTGTTGGATTACGGAGTGGAATTAATTCGTGTTGACGGAGAGCTTGCGCGCAAGGTGAGTCACTTTCCACCTTTCAGGTCATACTGCGTTTTTCATCGATCTTTCTTCCTTTTGGAGGTTTGCCAGGGACTTTTGGAAGAACAAATGCAGCAGGGCACTGTGTTCTGTTAGTTATTCGTATTTCACTATATGGAGGCTCTGTTCGGTGATGTCAGCAACATGTCGGTCCAAATTTGATGAGCTGGATGAAAGCGCACTCTTAATATTTGACTTTCTGAAAGTTCTTCATCAAGAAATATGCCACTGTAAGCCTGGAACTGTTAGCTTTGAAATAGTTGGGATATTCTGAGCTAACCAATGACCAATATACCACGTAGTCTCATGGCGAGATTACAGGTTGTATCACCTTTTTCCTGTTTTAAGAAAAAACACCAATCATGTGAATAAACCGAGTTACGGTGACTAGTTTTGCTGGAAGTCACTGGTGAGAGAGACTAGACGAGATGAACCGATGGATCAATCGCACTATACTTCATCTAGTTCTTCTCTCTTTTTGTGATTGAAGCATACTAATTATTGTTTGCATATGAGACTATCTCTATTTTACTGTGTAAAACAAGATTATTCTTGTATCTCGTTAGTTTTCTTCTCTTTGAACCAGGTGGTTCGTTCGATAAATCAAACAATTCCAGAGACAATTTATGAAATAGACAAATAGTAAGTATCTTAATAAGAGAAGTGGAAGGAAAACGAAGAAGTTCTGAAGGAAATAAAAATAAGGAAATTAAGCAACGTAGGTGAGATTCGAACAAACCACACTTCAGGACCTGTACCATTTAGTTCCAGTGCAATTGGCATTGGGACTTGAGATGAAGTTTAATAAGCCAGTTTGCTCTTTGTACGCTGATCGCCAGCGACTTGATTTACCTTGGCACAATGAAAGTAAACTGCCCAGTCTCCTACCAGCGCCATAATCACCACCTGGCATCACAAGTTAAATCCATCAAATATGCTTTCATATCGAAACAATTCACAAAGAAACCTACGAACTTTAATGAAACGAAACAATTGAAGTGTTCTCTGTCAACATATGAAATTCAGAAATAATACGACTGAAATGCAGTCAAATTGATTCTAGCTCAAAGACGTTCTGGTCTTGCTTCATAGTGTAGCATCAATAGACGATTCAGACATAAATTCCACATCGTGATATAAACGCGGATCAAAATTTTTAACCATTTGGCAATAGATGGAATGAAAATTCTTTTAAAAATTTCGTCTGAGCTTCACACACAATTATACATCTGATCGATCTTGCAAAACAGTCTTTCTCCGAACTCGAACTTACTACACCGCAACTGGGATCAGATTTGTAGATAACTGCTTCCTCTGTGAATCTAATGGATTTCATTTGCCAAAATGAGCAATATTTGTAGAAGTTAAATCCGGGTGTAGATAATTGAACACGGTAACCGTTGACTTACGTTTTACCCAATGAGAAATGACAAGAGGACATTTCTCAAAACACGGTAAGTGACTACTAATCAAGCTAGGAAAGGTTGACTCTATAAAAATATACCAAGTTTACGAGGGATGGCAAAAGGACCATTGAAAGGACAATGGAATAGAAGAATTCTTTAGGATAATTTACTCTCAGATTGTTGCATTAATTTTGCAACAGGATGATAGGCACAAAAATCAAAAATTAGAACGAATTGAATTCGAGACAATCAATTTGTAACCGACTGATTTATTTTAATTTGTGACTTAGTCATTCAATTTCGATATCAATTGGTGACCAACGGTTGATCTTGCTGTTTCTTTTGGCCGTGAAAATCCACGGATATGGAAAAAGCGCTTTCGTTTGCACCCTTCGGAGCGATAAATCCGAGTAGTCACCGCTTCAACTAGGCGTAACACAATTTAGATGATCAGATGGGTTCATTTAGGACCTTTTCACGTTACCGCCCAAAATTCTCCTCGAGAGAAATTGTTTACACTGACTACCTGAAAAATGTAGATTAAAATGCAAGTGTCAGCTTGTTGTCAGTAGACTGGGCATCAGTTGAGATGCTCTTCCATCACATAACATTTGGGCACCAAATGTGTATTTTTATCAGCGAAGAACTGATTTCAGCCAACATCGCACTCTTACGCTTCATCGGCTTCATATACGATGAATTCCTTCGTTGTCTTGTTTTACTCTGATTGAAGCAATCGAAATGGATCAGTAAAGTTCGCAATCCCGAGAAGCAATTAAAAGTTCAAAATGAATCGGAAATAGAAGCACCTGGAACTCACTGATCTCCAAAGGACAATGAGACCGGGTTCTGTATTGGAGACTGTGGTTTGATCCGGGCAAGCGTGTCAAAATCAAAACTATCTGTCTTAATGTCATCATTCAGAAAGCTGTCTGTGTCAGGCAGATCCTTTCTAGGAACGCCGTAATACTATACACGCACAAAGTTCTTGTATTTTTTATATTAAACGTACATCTTTGAAACGATCCGTGAAATAGTCCAACATTTTGCAGTATGCATTGTCAAACAATTCATCAATCATTGATACATCATATAAATATGTATCGATTTTTTTTCATCTCAACACAGTATGCGGACTGGTCGATGAAAAACGGGTTTGTTTTCACCTATCCGAATGAGTCCGAGATCTCTCATCCTCGTTTGCATTTGGAGAACAAAACATTTATTGTGACCACAATAGAAGTAAGTCAGTAATCGATGTCAATGGAAAATTTGGCTCTTGATGTTCTACCTTCTTTCGTTCAGCTGATTTTTATGCTAGAAAACGATATCTGAAATTCGTGATTTTCTTTTCAAATTTCCATCTTGTGAACCGGCCGATTAGTCTAGCAGGTCCGACCTATGGTACATTTATACACTTCACTCTATGCAATTGATTCTCCTCAGTCTGTGAATCGGGAATTAAAACGGTCGAATTAGGGCTTTCATAGCATTGAGGTGTTTTTTGATGATCAGGCGATCTTTTCCTTCTCGATCAATGCAATCCACGTTCTATTGTTCCTTACCAAATTGGATACTTTTAGAAAATCGCATTATATTTCTTCGATTTTAGAAATTTAGCATCATCGCTGAATTAATTTGATCAACCTGGGTAGATTAAAGGAATGTTAAACTCAGCAACCGGACTTAGCATTCTTCAACTTTGACTGGTTGGCAGAATGCAACAAGTGCCTATCTACTTCAATATTGAGGGAATCGTAAGTCGCGGTAGGATTCTATCCAAACTATGGATGTCACAGTACATACTCTTTCAGTTAAGCGACGAGGCCAGAACGGAAGTGTGATTGATATATTAATATATTAGCAGTCCGGTTTGTAGGTACCAATTTATCTCGGCTACGTGTTCGTAGAAGGCAGGATTCTCGGTTAACCGGATGCTTGATCGGTGAAATTTGGCGCTCAATCAGCTTCCAATCCTCCTTTTTGGTATTTATCATGAATTATATCTGTGCAATAAAATGCTGAGTATGTGATGATAATAATAATAATAGTAATAATAATAATGGACAGAATTTATCCTTTATAGTAATTTAGTTTCTGTTGTGATGGAATAAAATTGCACTAGGCCTGATAGAAATTGGACTATGGCAGAAAAGCCGTCCCACTACACCTTTTCCCTTCAAGCTTTAGCCAAAACCCTCAATGCATTAGCCACGGCCCGTATTCCTTTAACCTTGCCGACGTAGAAAAGTCGGATTAAAGCATCGGGATATTCCGAGGTCAAATGATGTTGAAAAATTTTGTTTTCTACAAATGTTGAAGTTACGAAGCTTGCTTATGAAATGATAAAGTGTAGCGGTCGTATGCTACACAATTGACCGTCATAACGTCATCAAATACCGCATCAAGTGTTGATTGAAGAGAAGGTTTGTACAACGTGCTTGTATCGTCAACCTCTTTGGCGCATCCCGTATGGCTTCAATGTTTTAAGTGGAACAGTTTTTTTATTGTGCATCAACAGGCCGGAGAAAAAATACCGTTCACAAAAATGCACCACCGTAATTATGAGCAGCTTAAGAACACCGCAACATTTGACAAAATTACAATGGTCGAAGCTCAAGAACTGGGGGGGGGGGTTCGGATTAAGCTTGATGGGTAAAACTCCAGATTAAAGATAGTTGCAGCGGTCTCCAAAACTTGACATGACACAGAATGAGCATTTTTCATGTTTGCAACGCGCTAGTATTACTCAATTGTTTGTAATCTTCAAAAGTTCAACTTCAACTGACTTTCATCTGTAAATTGCTCCAAAGTATTGAAAAACACTCGATAAAAGGTAATAATTTGCACAGTTCTCAACTGTGAATAATCATCATGTAACCAGTTAGGTAAATTTCTCGGTGGCAAGTGCTTTCAGTTGGTCGATATATTCATAATGTAACGTTTTTATGCTACTCACATTTCCCTGTATTTTGGAGATAATGACCCCCGGGAGGGAGGGGCATTTTTGATGCAAAGTAGATGAAAATAATGGTGTAGAAATGAGGGTTTAACTAAACACGGCATTAGATAGAATATTTTGCGAATTGAATCACATATTTGAGGAACTCTCTTACAACTTTGTTCACGCAACCGCATCAGTGACCGTACGCATAGTTCGATGACCAATCTTGTAAGCCTTGAGCTGAAAGTTTAGGGTGTCCGCCGTATGAGACGATTAGTATGTTGTCGGCGTCTAATTAAACACATAAAACAACCAGAATGCGCCAAACAGAAATCGGATTAAACTGGACGCATTTTCACGTCGTGTCACCTAGGTTTGACTTTACTGAATCATTCAAGAGCCATAAAAGAACCAGGAAGACAAACATGGCCCTTGGTTGGTTGATATGTATATCTATAATGACAACACGAAATTAGACAAAAGTCAGACTGAGAATTCCAATGGTTACTCAAATTTTTCATTGGAAATGTACCCCATTCATACAGCTTATCAGTTACCAAGCTCTAAAACAAAGTCCCTAGACACTTTTTCACGTTATGTTTCAAGTTTTGTTTACGTTTCCAAGCCTTCGTGCAGTGGAGTTTACGAAACTATATGAGATTCTTTTGGCTTCAAATTTATGCAAGTTCAGTTTGGCTGGGAAAAATGATTCCATCAGCTACAGTCTAGCTTTAGGTGTGTGCGTGTGTATGCATGCAATCCTATTTTCTCTCGATCTGTCAGTACAGAGCCTAAAACACTCGACAAAAAAAGCAACACGTACTGTTGATCCAACTTGTCTTAATCCACAATGTCCGTTGACTAATCGGTATCCAATCCCGAGTTGAGTAAAAATGCGTGATTTTCAAGCCAGTTTGAAAACATTCCGGCGGAAGTAGATTTGTTGATCCTGGTCTGGTTTCACATTATGCAAGAATCCGTCGTAAACCCAAAGAGATTACTAGAAACCCAAAAATAATTCGTTTTCTCTCGTCCTATTCTCTTTTTCTGTCTTGTTCCCAAACGTAATTCGTATTGAAAAGGATCCACCATTTGTCGTCTATGAGCCATTCAGACAGGGCAAGCCGATGCATGGAAACGATCAGTGGACTGGATTTGCAATGGAGCTACTCAAACACTTGAGCAAAATGAATCACTTCGACTATATCATCAAACCGGTGGAAGATAAAAAATTCGGAACATTCGACGAAACCAAGGGCAGATGGGACGGAATGATCGGCGAGTTAATTTATAAAGTGAGTTGTTCAGAGTTCTATTTGTTTTCTGTAACCTATAGGAAGGATATTTTAAAATGAGCACACTTCTACATTGAGATCAATATACAATGGATGGTAAATATCTACATCAATTTCAATCAAATTAGAAATTTAATCAATTGATAAACCTTGCACTTAGTAGAAAAACGCAAAATCTCGTGATTACAGCGAATAATTCCTTAAGCAGCTGCATAAAGCTAAGCACATCAATTGTAAATTTTCTCGTTTGTCCTAATTGGAACATTATTGTGAAAGCGTGTTTATACTCGCATGGTTCAGTTGACTGCGCAGTCATCGATCTCACTACTCCAAATTCTACCTGTTCTGAGTGGCACGTAGGGAGTAGTAACGACCGCATCTTTGCTCAGAACCATGTGAAATTGTATGACCACTACATGCACGTTTGAACTTTCACCTGTGCCAGATGACTGAAAATATAATAATAGAATCTTTGTGTACCAATCAATCACTTATAGGAATATAACGCTTTTAAATCCGGTCTTTTGTTTTCCGTGGAAAAAAATAAACAATCAAAAATGTGTCTTTTCAGTGTTTTAATTTTGAAGAAGTATTGGCCTGTGACTGCATTATTCTTACTAGTGAGGGTACAAATTATTTATCGTCCAAGCCTCTTGACTGCATTGGTTGTGATAGACTTTCAGATTTGGAGCTTTGGATCAATCTATCAAACTGTTAAAGGCATCAAACCATAGAACCGAGTTCCCCCCTCATCAGCGAACGTCCAATCACTCATTTATCAACCATATCTTGATTCCTTTATCTCCATTTTGATAATCTCATTTGCTTTGAACGCGCTCGTGTTAACTCCCTCTTCATTGGTCGAACAAATGGATAGCTTGGGTACTGGAAATCGAACTATCACGCGTCAGTGCATGTTTTACGGTTTACAAAAATGAAATTGGGAGTAAAACTCGATTTTCCGTACCATATTCTTTATCTCTACGGGTTCCATTGTCATTTTTTATTAATTATTATCATTTTGTGAAAAATAACACAACACAGAATATGTATTTAATCGGAACCACACCAAGTCAAATAAGCAACCACTTTCATTTGTTCAAATTGTTCTATTCATCATACTATTCATTTAATATACACTATCAATCATGTTAATCTATTCACCGTCCGCGCCAAGTGTTTTTATTTCGTTGGAAACTAATGTTATGAATCTGATAGAAAAGTTCGACGGAACAAGAAAAACGGTACATCATAAATATCCACTGAGAACGAAATTGAAACAGGATTATGCTGCGGTGGGAAATTATGCCCCCGCTTGTCTAACAACCGTGCCAGAACAACTAATATAGAACTGTAATTCCGAGGTTTGCAGCTTTAAATCTATACCAAATTTTTATACAGTAAATGGCTAGTAAGCAAGTGGTTACTACTTGTTTTGCTCAGAGCTTAGATACCAGAATTATTCTTACGCATGTTACCTCTTTAAAGTGTTGCAATTAATCTGACAATTCGATCACGTGAATCGTTTAGTATATTTATCCTGACTGTACTGATAGTCTTAAAAAAGTGGAGCCGAATAGCTGGTAGTTCATCACGTATTCACGTTTCGATGCACTCCACAAATCAAGATAGACCGGCATGCTCAGTTCCCCAAAAGCTGATTGAACTTGGAAGGTAATCGAGACACACGATGGACATCGATGAAGCTCAAGGTACGACTGCATTATCTTCATTCTTTTACGATCTACGAAAATCATATGCAGCTACCGATATCGTGCGATAGAATCAACAGAGTCGGAAATAATTTGCATTTGTATTTGTTGCCTTTGTTCTAACTTTCGCATGCATTTCAGTCAAAGTGATTTGTTATGATTCTGTCCAAAACGCAGTTACCTCTGACCCGCGAAACTATTAACTTGCTTTTAGATCAAAAGCAGTGAAGCATGGTTAAAATCGTCTAAAATGATGTGCAAGTTATCCTCTAACATAAGAGAAGATAAAAATGCCTCCAACCAATTTGTGTACAAAACGGAGCAATACATAGGTTTGTTATAAAAGAACTTAGATTTCCGGAGAAGTTAGGGTGACACTGACTAGATAAACTGTCATTTCCGTGCATTAAAAGTGAGCAAATAACAGCCAACTTGCCGCATCACGGAGTATGAAAGTATTTATCCACACCGTCGCCGGTTTTCTTGCCACAACAGACTCTGCCCGGACGGTACATCTCAAAGCCATTAATAGACATCAACGTGTCAGCAACATGCGGATACATTCAAGATTTTTGTATGCAAATCAGACAAGTATGAACCAGAACCCGAGAACGGAGAACAGTTGATAAATCCGAGGATTTCGTGAACAAGGAACGTGCGGTCGTACTCAGTAGTGATGGAACCGACATTTGGGACGGAGGAGTGCACTAAAGAGCAACCTTCCACTAGGCACGATTGTGTTTTTCTGTGAATTTTGAAACCTGAAGGAATCAAGTAAAGTTAAATCTAATCATCGGTTAAATCTGAGAGGTCTTCCAAATAGAAGTAACTACGATTGCGTATACTGAGGAACAAAGGCCATAATAATGACTTAAAGCCTTCAGTGTGATGAGTTGGGACAACACAGGATTGTAGCGCAGCCAGTCACATGGTGCGGACGCAAATAGTTTTACAAACTCGAAATTTCATCTTCGGTTTGAACAGCTTGCGCACCTATCTTGTTTTGTATTACACGCCAATTAAATGTTTGTAAAACGATTCAACGTTTAGTAGATTTAGTATATGTGGTTTCGGGATAGATGCAAGTAGATTCGTTGTCACCGGTGCTATCCGGGCCATACGGTTGAGGATTTGAACCCTAATGCTACAAACCTTGACGGGAGGTAGTTTTAATAACGTCCACCGCATTAACATGTCCTGCGCAGTAGGTTACTGCAAGTCTAATGGAATCAGGTTTACGGTTCCAAGTACCAAACTGTGGGTTCCGAAGATCACAAAATTTGGCATTCAGGTGGATAACACCAAAAGGATAATGCAGCTAGAATAAAAAAAACTTTCTGTGGTTGCAATAATGAAGGGTCCACGCTATACCATTTGAAAATATTATCTTCCTCATTTTTTGTGCAGCACAAAAAATAATGTGACTTTCTTGCTGTCTATTTGCACGCCAACGTGATTCAAATCATGCTACAAGAGCTTGAATTTTAATTACCTTACCAGTTCACCAAATTAAGGATTTCACAAAATGGGTGCAGACAACTTTAGAAATCATAAAAATGCCTCACATGGCAGGGATTCCACTGTTAACCAATCCAGTCTGCACTGTTCACCTTTTTACCGAGTACAAAATAAGAGTAGGGGGGGGCAGCGGATTGCTTTTCCTCCACCAGTTTTTGTCTTAACAAAACAAAGCAGTTCTACAAGACAAATATGTGAAAGAACAACGCACTGAAATAATCTCCGAAACTGCAACATGCTTTAGGCGTGCAAGAGAGAAAAGAACAGTGCCAGAATTTCGGAGTCAATAACATAACTCCGGCTAGGCAACACAAATTCAAAAATAGACCGACCGGTTACATTCTGTTCATACAACAAAGCTCAGTTTGACGCAATGAAATCACGTGCAAAATAAAAGATGGTGTAAAGCAGGGTGATTCAGTACACCGAAACTCTGTCCACATTCCGCTGTAATTGCACATCCGCTACGCAAACGCGAATCCTAGAGACAATTTCGTATTCAAACAGGTTATCACCCCTTTCGTCGAATTCGTCTTTCAACTCTACTAACACACGGGTCTGTATGCTACGGCCTATATTTGCATCACCAGCGTGCACTGCCTGAGGCCCACTTGCTCGTAGGACGATGATTGAATATGACCACGAATCTAGTTGATACAGGACTGCAATTTGGTGTGTAGGGGTGAGGGTGCACAAAATTGATCACATCACTGATGTCATACAGTACTATCTTCTCGCCCAATGCGAATGCAACTCAGAGGTTCTGTCCTAATAAGTAAGCTGGACTGTTTAACATCCTCACAGGTATTATCTCGGCTTTTACAGTGGGCCACAAGATCGTTACAAATTACAGCACAGTAATACCCATGATCTATTTGAGAGGATGCAAATCAACACGGCTAATTCTAATCCGGATACCGACCAAATACATAACCACATGCGTCTGTATATCTCTACTGTATTTGCAAACTACTGTTCTTTAAGGTTCAGCCAAGTTAAAATGATGCTCAACGTTATGTAAAACATAAATATGAGAACGAACAAAATAATAGTTTACATCAAATGTCATACAGAACTGTTTTTGTTTCGTACCGTTTTTCTTGCGACCTGCATTGAGTTAGTCCTCACTATGTGAGGACCTCTGTATACCGTATTACACTGAACAGCAGTACGCAAGCACCACTGGTCATCAACGCATCGATCAGTTGATCAAGTTTGAATTGTGTTGCTGCTCTTACTGACCTTCGTATTTTTTATAATATTATGTTCTTTCCAGAACAATCCTAGCAAGTTTGCTGTAAATCATTAGTTAAATATAAATACCTAATCCAAAGAATAATCAAATCAGTCTGTAAGTAAGTTTAAAGCGCATTTTATTTGGTCTTTCCAAACTTTAGTGTAGAATAAACAAATAGATGGTTTTCATCGTTTTTATTTCTTTTGTAACGTAATATATTTTTTGTTTTTTGTTTCGTTTTTCAATTTATGATTGAAAATCAAAACTGGAATGCAGCTTGTTTGATCAAAAAATCTCAGAGTATCCAATCAACATCGATTACAGACCAACATCGTTCCGAGTACCTTTATTCGCCGGATTAACATTGATGCCTTTCTGGGAGTGGGTAGGGGACATGAATATATTGTAAACAAATACGATAATGATTGCTGCGTAACGGTTTGTTGTAGCTCCGATGAACGAGTATGGTTATTAGTTGCAATTATGGACCATAAACACTTCAACACTCACCTAGCGTTGACCGATATGTTTGG